CTGATGGACAGAGCTTAATCAGAGCTAAACAACAAAAGAAATCTCAAGCTCCTAGTTTTTGAGCTATAACCATTTTTGTATGTCCAGATACCCCTTTTTCAGATAAATTGGGGGTCCGACTGATTGATGGGCCTGATGGATAGAGCTTAATCAGAGTTAAACAACAAAAGAAATCTGAAGCTCCATACTTTTTCCCTGTGCCATTCCACATTATTACAAATAACTTCATTTCTGGACATTTATGGTTTGATTTCTTTGTATGTATGGATCACTTGGGTTGTTACCAACATCTGGTGAAAATTTCATGTCATTAGCACCTCTAGTAATATATTTACTGAGAAAAAATGGTGACGTGTTCAGTACTTATTTTACCCGCTGTACGTTATGGGTCATATTTTTCAACCTATTCAGTTTTCTCTGTTTTCATTTTCTGAACATCACAGAATTTGCGACACAATTTCCGACTAAGGTCTGGACTCACTAAACAATATGGATTTAAAGACACAGTGTCAAAACGAGTTGATGTGAGACACAGGTGAGAAAAGGGGTGAAAGAGGGGTTTATGTATTTTCAATTATAGGATTTATCTTCTTTCTGCTACCTTTCATTTAATTTGATTTGTATTTTTTTTTTGTTGTATGTGAATTTTTTTTTTAATTAAATGAATAATCAAATAAAACCCAATAATGAGAAATTCAAGCATTGGATTTCCACTTTATGTATACCCCAACTGAATGATTTAAAAGCATATGTCTCCTTTAAAATCACCAAGGTCAAAACAAATATGGAGATTTTTAACTAAAACATTTTCACAGCAGCAGACCTGTGCCTCAGGGTCTGGCATGTATAGATGATAGTGATGTGCAGATCGATACTGAAATATTGATACTAACGGTACCAGAACTTTATGCTATTTAATCAATACTAAAATCAAAATATCGATACTTTAATATTTCAGTTATTTCACATAATGTATATAATTAACAGGAAAATAGTGGAAAATAATTAAGCTGTGGAAATCTTGTTTAAATCTTATGTGATTGGATGGAACTACTTTTTCTTCCACTTGCGTAATGCATAAGCACAGTGGCATGCGCTCAGTCACTCAGTCTGAATGTATGGCAGGTCATTTTAACATAAAATCTGCTTTGTCTAACTGTAATTAAATTCTAGATGAGGGGTTCCAAAACTTTTTAATGCCATGTCCCCCCAAACAGCATTAACTCGGGCCAGGGACCTTCTTGCAAAACCCAGAAACAATGCTACAAAATATACTTAGAATTTTTTTCACACTTTTATTCACTATTCAAAAATTATAATATTTCTTTTTAGAATAAGAATTTTAAATTGTGCTAAACAAATATAGGCTTAGGGTTAGAAAGACTTTTAAATCAATAAATATATATTACTATGTCATAAAGCGGTTATTTGAAATTTTTAACTTTTTAAGATTTACCAGACACATTATGTGTGTTATCACAAAGTATCTGGAATTGAATCGGTATTGCCGATACCAGGCAAATTTTACTCGGTATCAGTATCGGAAAGAAAATTGGCAATATCGAGCATCACTAATAGATGAGTTTGCACAAACCATCCTGTTGTATCTCCCACCTGCAGCTGCCCAACGAGGAGGAGCCAGAAGAGGGTCCACAGGTTGCAGCCGATGCTCCGCCTCCATACAGCAGCGTGGCAGCCGACAGTGCTGGTAAAATCCGAACTTATCCAAGTGTTTCTTTTGAGGAATTTGCAGCATTTTGCATCTAAARCCTGCTGAAACGTGGCGTTCAAAAATCAAGAATAAATGCTTTTTCAGTAAAACTGAATGGCTGCGTTGGATCTTTTCTTTGTCTTGGTAGCTTGAAAAAAAATGGAACAAAAATATAAACTTTGGTCTTTTACTGTTTATGCTGAGTTACTGCTTGTTGTAATTAGAGATGAAGCTACCCAGAGATTATTGTGAATATCTGAACAGCAGTTTTGAAAGTCTTTGTAGTTCCTTGTCATCTGTTTACTGGTATACACATAAACTGTATATCAAATTGCTTTCTGTGTATGAATTTCTCTTTTGTTGTTGTTCAGCCTACTTGGACTACAAGGAAGACGGGGTTTTCCCCAAGCCTCCATCCTACAACGTAGCAACTACGCTCCCTTCCTACGATGAAGCAGAAAGAACAAAGGCCGAGACTTCAGCTTCTCTGGTAACAGGAAGAGTAAGTATCTCACTTTTTTTTTTCCTCCTCATAATCACCGCCTCGCACAAACAAACGCTGTGCTCTAAAATGCATCCGGAGTTGTTTGCAAGGCAGGAAGTGTTCAGTGCCCCGCATTGCAAAATGTTTTTTTTTTTTAATTTCTTTGTACAACTGATTGCATCTGTGGTTTGAACAAAAGCAGCTTTACAAGAACCAGAGTGTTTATTGAGACTAAAGGRAACAGAGGAGTATTTTGGCGCAAATTGACCAAAAGTAATGATCCAGAGTTAACAACAGCCAACAGGAGGTCTGGATTGTTTGTTTGCAATATTGTGCTAACAAATAAAACATAATAAAATAAAACATAATGCATTTAATAGAAGACATTAATTGATTTTTTTCTATTTGCTAACTTTTCGCTGATAAGTTGTCTCATGGACATTAGAATACAAAGTGTTGAAAGTTCAATAACAAAGGTAGTTTGTAACATAATATACAGAATCCAGCTGTGGCTCAGATATAGCTTAAAGAAAGGAAAAAAAAATCAAAGCAGAAATGATTTAAGGAAAAAAATTTAACAATGAATAATATAAAAAACGAATAAAGTGACTTCTATTGTAAAAGAAAGGAGGGTATTAAAAACGTTAATGCAGTGTATACAGCTGTGGTTAGCGACTCGTACCTCTGTATTTTGGGGACCTCTGTCTCTAAAATAACGCTCATGTCATGCGATCACTGGAACCCACTGTTTCTCACCTCTCATTTAATCGTGTAAACAGGAAATCTCTCTGAGCTCTGTGAAGAAGAAGGAACAGTCACGTGACAGAAACATAACAATAAAAAAGCAGTTAAATGATTATTATACCTAAAATATCCATTATTGAAAACAAAAAGGAAGTAATAGGTTTAATTTAAGGACACATATGTAAACTATTTAGTCTGTAAGTTAGAACAGGGGTTCCCAAAATTTCCAATGCCATGACCCCCCCTTCTGGCCGGGGACCCCGCTTGCAAACCCACAAACCATTCTACAAAAATAGAAACACCAATTTTAGAAGGACTCACACTTTTATTCAGTATTTAAAAATTATTTGTGTAACATAAGAATTTTATTAACAAACATTTTTAAAACAGTTTTATATTCCCACTGAAAAGCCAACTTTTCAACATATTGACAAAAAGAACAAAAAACATTTCAATATAAATAACATTTTCTTGTATTATTAAAAACATACGTTTCAAACCAATGATAGAACAACATGTGATTTTATGGTAATGATTAAAAACATTTATTAGATTAAATTTTATTTTTGCATTTTTTTCTCATCTTCCCTCCAGCTTTCTGAGGCCCATCTTGGCCACGCCCCCCACTTTGAAAAAACACTGTGTTACTAGTCATAATTATTAGCTGATATTATGAAATGCGATTATGTTTTTAATTTATAACCATGATGCCTTTTTCAGTTGGTGTCATTGTGAAATTATCTTCAGTAAAACTGTCAACAATTAATATAAAAATTAGTGCCATCGGRTGTGTTTGTGTGCGACACACTATCACCATCAGTGGTGGAAGGCARCGGGGAGCAGCTAATGCTAACCCTAATCCTACAAACTTGTTTAATCACCTGAAACACCGACATAAACCGGATTACGAGGAAAGCCGGAGAATGCAAACCACAACGTCAGCTACGTGCAAACACCATTAATGGTCACATTAATCATTATTGGTTAAATTTTTATGTCAATATTGCCCAACCCTACTGGAGTTGATGTCTAACTTTTTTGTCTCTCTGGTGTATAAATGCACCATTTTTTTGTGTTGTTTTTTTTTTTTAAATTTTGTCAGACCTCCATCAACACTTTTTTTTTTTTTGTTTTGGCCAATTCAACTATAACCAGCTTATTGACATTTGTTCAGAACTCTGCTACGCCTATCAAACAGAAAGGGACTTATATATATATATAT